TTTATAATATTTATTATCCAACAATATTTATTCTTGGACTAGTTTAAAAAAGAGTAGTATTTTTTTTCTTTAAAAATTTTTCACAGTATATTAAAAAAAAATTGTTGTGGGCTGTGAGGTATTTATTGGTTGAAGAATGATAACAGCTACCATTACTATGCATGAAAATGTCACAACAGCAATCAGTTAGTTATAAGAACAAAATTGGTGTGCATCAGGGTTTAGAATTTTTTTTACTTTTCTTGTTATTTTGTTTAGGAAGATCTCTTTAAAGTGTTCAGTGTTAGTTTATTCATGGAATTATTTAACAAAGACATTTATGATTAATTGCAGAGACAAAAAAATATTTTTTACCATTATTTCAGTGTTGGAAAGCTGGAATGAAAGCAAGAGCTTAGGATAGCAAGAATAAGACAAAAATCTAACTATTTCAGAGATACCTTTAGTTAGGCTGGTGGGTTTGTTCCAAAATTATTATCTATGATAATGGTGATGATTTCACATATGCAAGAAGCTTGACAACTCAATAATTTATTGTTTAATTTTAAAAACATCATAAATCATTTTTAGAAATTACATTAGTCAGACTCTTCAGCCCACGCCTTTAAAGTGTTGACGGAAAGGTCTGACATGTATGTAACACGTATCTAGCCTCATGTAACATATTCCCTGTGATCCATCATTATTTTCCAAAATTGACTTATAGTGTCTCTAAAATGACCCTTTCAATTTTTTTAAATTCTAAAATGACCCTTTCAATTAAGTCAATGATATTAGAAACCAATAGTTTAAATGTGACATCTAATGTAATTCATAGTCAAAAATAATTTATTTAAAATATTTTCTTAAATTAACTTTAAAATGAACCTTTTTTTCTGCAAACAACAAATTGGGTCAGAGTCAAGAAGTTTTATTTTTGTTAATTTTTATTGCTAAATTTTAAAGGACAACAAAAATATTTTATTGAGTTATTTCATCATATAATTCGATTAAAATTAGTTAATTGAATAAACAATAGTTAATTGAATAAAAATAATTAATTGAATAAGCAATAGAATAATCAAGTTGACAATATTAGTAATTTGAATTAAATTATAACAAATTAATTTAAAAATTTACCTTTTAACATAACTTGTATGAATAGTAGATATGCATTTCTTTAAATTGATCTGTTTTTGAGTTTGTTTATGAGCTATTTTTTAATTGCTTTTTTAATTGTAAACAGAGCAATTTGAGTAAACAGAGATTTGGAAGTGAACAGATTAAAATCAATACAACACTTAAATATATTACGAGAGAGTACAATGTAAAAATAGTTTTTATACAGCAATCTAAAAATAAGTTTATAGATTTTATTAAGTTGTATATTATTATCAAAGTTTTGCTAGCTCAATACAGTAGCTCAATATTAAGGTTGAACTTATAAAATTTTTATTTACATTGACCTACTATTAACTGCTAATAAAATGGCTGCTATCAACTAATAAACTATTGATAATAAAGTGACTGCTATCGCTCTTTTGCTTTTTGCTCTTTTAAATGACAGTTTAATAAAAATTACTGTCACAATAAGGGCTGATTATGTCATCAATTTCTTCACTTAAAAAAAATTTTAAATAATTAAATAAAGAAAAAAAAAATGAAACTATAATACTTTTAACGAAGACATTTTTTATTCAAATTTTAGAAAAAATGTTTAAACATCTCACCTGTATACTAATCCTTCCATGTTTGTTTTAAGAAAAACCATTCTAAATAAAAAAAACTTTATAATGAAAAGTTGTCAACAAAAGAAAAGAGCCTCAAAAAATGACTTTATCACAATTATTTAGGTAACAAAATTATTTATTAAGAGAGTTAAAGTGATAATAATGTAGATTAAACAAGAGCTGCAATTATTGATTAAATAATATATTATTAAAATTATATAGATCACTGCATAACATTAGGACCAACAGGTTAAACGTCTCCCAATTTTATTTCATATAATTGTAGATGCTTAAATAGTAAATGCTGCTTAAATAATTTTTTTCGTATAAAAAATGTTTAAAGTTTATCAGAAGTATTAAAAAACTCATTTTTGTATACCCTATTTACCCTCTAAAAATAAAAAAGTTACCCCCCTTTAAACTTATAATAACTCCTTAAAAGAAAAAATTTTTAAGTAATTATCTTTTTTTTATTCTCCTCAATGTGCTACACTACAATTCTAAACTTAAGGTGATTTAAATTTACACCTAAGCTCCTTACAGTAAAATAAGAAAAAAACAATAAATTTAACAAATAAAATCAGTGCAACAAAAACATTAACACTACTACTTATATATTAAAAAATTTACATCTCATCCACATAATCAAGGTAGCGGATTTCAAGTGTTTACCATAATCTATATACCCAATCCTTTGCTTATATCAAGACTAACTTGTTTAAAGGCACTGTAAATAGCCTCTTCTGTCTGTTCAGAATGTGATCTTTAAAAACAAGAACTGAATTGCACAAATGGGAGAATATGGTAAACCACTATATACACTTTCCATGTAACATTCAGCTCTGCATTTAAATGTATTTTTGCATACTGCTGTAGGTCACTAAATGATACTTTGAATTCTTCAACAACTGAAGGAACATTGCTGCCTATTCTTTTCCAGATGTGCACTCTTTACCTTTTGAAAACATTCTTTTGAGAGGCAATGTACAATAGGTATTAAATAAGTTTGAGTTGCTAACACATCTCTCCCTAAAATATCTACTTTTTCTAGAAGTTTTGTTGCCATCAGAGCCTATCTCATGATATCAATCGGTAAACAGAGGTCAATGAGCAGTCTACCAAGTTGTGTCATGATCCCCAAATGAAGATGTAAATCTGGTGGTGGAACAAAGTGATTAATTTAACCCTTAGGATTTTTATGAAAATAAAAATTAATCACATTTTCAAAATCTTTAATCTGCAATTGCAGATCTTGTAGTAATGATCAAGCAACTTGTAGTAATGATCAAGAAAATGTCTTGGTTTCACCACTTTCTAAGGAATATTCACCTTCACACCACAAGCAGGCATATTCACCAGAATAAGATGATAAACCCAATATGCTGTTAGCACATTTAAATCAAATGCAAGGTGACGTGCAAATACACCTAGATTTAATGTACTCAAGATATACTACAGATTTCTGTTGTTATCAGAAACAAAAGTTGTTAGCAATCAATATGAGTTGCTTAATTATATGCCTTTTAAAAATATACCTGTAGATATTTTGAAAGGCCTGGCTTCTCTCCAGGATCAAGTTTTTCTGACAAATTAATTAGGTGCAAAACAGTCTTACTAGAACAAGAGTTGTTATGGTATCATGATAAAACTAACTCTTAAATTAATATACTTAATAAACTTTAAAATTAATTTTATTGAAATTTATAAATATTTATTTAACAACTTTTAATTCATCTAAAAAATAATTTAATATTTAATCATAAACCTCTTGCAAAGAGAGAAAAATACCACTTGCACATACTGTCCTTTAAAGATTCTACAGCTTGTATTTTAACATAAAATAATTGAATAATATAACTTTGTATCACTAAGCTCAGTAGTGTTTAATTCTTGGCCTGTCAATCTAATTCAAGAATATTTACTTTATAAAAATTTTATTTATTTATTTATGTATTACTTATTTAACTTAATTAGTTAAATAAGTAACACATGTTTATCAAGCATTAATTTGTCAGTTTGACGTATTAATGCTTTATTCCTTTTCCAGCAAAAAGATGTTACTTCTACAATTTGAACCAATTACATCTAGACAGGCAATAAACTTTTTTATTGTTTAAAGTTTTTTATTGTACTCAGGCCAAATATACTTGATTTTATTTCCTCTAGGTACTTTTGATAATGACTTTGAATGTTTATCTTTTTTTCCCCAACACACTGCACAAACAGACTGTCTTAATTCAGCCATATATGCTTTTTTGATAATTCATTGTCAGATTCTTTCTGAACAACTGTAAAGTTTTACACAACAAAACTCAATTTTTTTGTTAACTAATATTATTGTAGTTTTGTTTAACCAGGTGAAACAAATAAAGAAATGACTCAAGATGCAGCCAACCAAGTGAAACAAATGGTTGGCTGCATCTTGAGTCATTTCTTTATGATATTTATGAATAAATGTAACAGAATATTTTCTCACTATTTTAGTATTAAATTGACCATTCAAAGTTGAATCCATCTTTGACCATAAAAATGGAATTGGAAACAAACTTTTATGAAAAGCAATGTTCGCTGGTCTCTTGTAGGAGTTTTTATGCTATTTTACACAGACAGCATATCCATTATTTTGCTTATCAGCAGATTGAAACTCCTTAAATGTTTAATAATAAATTTTTGATATTGCTCCAGATGTAGATTATAAAAAACATGATGAGTAACATTGCAAAAAATATAATCTTTTAATGTTGAGATTGAAAGTGCTCTCATTTCAAAATCTTACCATAATATGGAAATTTTTTAAAAAATCTAAATTTTTGTTTTGTTTACACTCTTTAATATCTTTTCATAAGTCTCTTTTCCAAAATTTTGATGATTATAATCAATAAAAGTTTAATGATTATAATCATAAAACTTTTATACCTAAAGTTTTTAAAGTATTACAATTAGTGCACTAGATATTCCTGATCAGTTTAAAAATTAGGCTATGCCATCATCAAAAATAGGTTAACAGCAAAACTGGTAAAAAATCTGTTACAGGCAGTCATCTAAATAAAAGTAAAAAAACCTTAAACCACTTTAACTAATATTTTCTTGTCAGCTGAAATACTGGGCAACCAAGCAGACTCATTTCAGAATATGCTTTAAATAAATGCTTTTGTAATAATTTCTAGTAAAACTTATACTGTATAGAGTTTAAAAAAAGTTATAAAAGTTATAAAACTTATACCTGTTTGAACTTGTGTTTCCTGCAATTTGAAAAAGTCTAAAAAGTTTTTAAACAATCACAACATTTTTAATAATAAAAAATTTATAAATTTTAAAAAATTGGTAAAAACATTTGCTTTAAGTAAAGGCCAATAGTATTGCACAAGTATGTGCTAAAAATAAATTGCAAAAATATTGAAAAATAAATATTTAATGTTAAAAACTATTCTATAAAAATCCAAACATTAAAATAGATCCAATTTACATTTAGAGAGCTTAAAAAATTAAAAAAAAAATTGATTTTTATATTTAAGTACATTTAAAAAAATGTTTTTTTAAAGTTTAATGGAAATAAAAATACATCAGTTCACCAATATGTTTATATTGGTAAACTGATGAAGTCTGCATTATACACAGTGCTAACAGTCTGGCTAACACATTCAGATATAGTTTGTCTTATGACCTTTCATGATAAGTTTTAATTAACAACTGATAAAAAAAACTTAAACACTTAAAGCTATAAAAATTATACATACAAAAAGTAAAAGTAAAAAATAAAGAAATCTTATTTATATTTTCAACATCTTTATTACTGGTAATAAATTTAACTCATTATCAGACTAAGTTTCTAAAGAAAATTTTTTTTACCAGTAATTTTGTTTTTTTAATTTTTTTAAATTAGGAATTTTTAAAAATAATTCAAATATTTTATTTGAACAAAATATTTACTTAAGTTTATACCTGATGTATTTCAGAAGTATTTTAGTATTTTCCTATAGTATAAAAAGATTTAGAAATATAAATAAAATAATATAAAATATATTAACGAAGAAAGTTTTTTTGTTAATTTACTATAACAAAATATATTCTACCTTCAACTGCACATTAAAACATTCCAAACACTTTTAGTATTCAAATATGCATTTACTTCCATAAAGCAGGAAGAACTAGATTCTATGTTTAATTAATTTTTAAGAGAAGAATTATTTCTTGTAAGTTTAAAAAAGATTTTCAGAATAGAAATAGCTGTGTATGATTTTTTTTATCTTTAAAAAGCTGTCAAAAGCATTAAAAGAGGTACAATTTAAAACAAATAATGGAGGAAATGATAGTATAATAAGTAAAATAAAGATGGTGTTCATCAGGGTTTAGTGCTTAGTCTTTTTTTTGTTACTTTTGTTTTAGGAGCTCTATCTAAAAAGAATTCACTGTTATTTTACAACAGGAGTTACTTTATACATATGTTTTTTGTTTGATTAAACTTTACTTTATGCTTGTTTGCAGGCGAAAGAAACAATACCTAACAATAAGTAATAAATAACTTAATAATAAATTAGACTTCAGTATTGAAAAACTGGAATGGATCTCAAACAGAATAAAACAACATGAACAAAAAACATAAATTAACTTAGAATAGCATGAAAAAAATAGATGGCTTTTTCAAGGTAAAAGTTAACTTTGTACCTTAGATAACATAAATGATGTTTTGATAACATTTTTTGATAATCTATGTTGTTGTAACAATATTTATGATAATAGGTTGTTAACATTTTGCTAAGATAAATACAATTATTATATTATAACATATTGTTACCATAGATACATCTAAACTAGCTAGTGTAGCATATAAGGCAAACACATCAGAGTAGAGTTTCTACAAGTTAAGAAAATTATTGAGAACTATGATGATGATGATGATGGCAATTATGATTATATTGATGATGTAATAGAAGCTCTGCGCATCAGCTGCAAAGTTGGAAAACTCAGCTTGCAAGAGAACTGCAGTGTATCAACTACAACTGAAATGAAACGCCAAAACATAAACAAATACATTATTATTTTACTAAGCAACTTACAAATAAAGCAACTTACAAACATTTTATTGCATGTTGAGTAAAAATATTGGAAAAAAAAGTAGGAAAGTATAAGCAAGTTAGACAAACAAATAAATCGCCCATATGTTTTGTTAGATTTTTATTAAAAATTAGGAAGGTATAAGGATGTTTTATACATTTTGTGCTAAATAATTTTTTTTTTAAGTTGATCTTAATTGTTTTTAATGATCTTTTTCATTACTAAACAGAAAAAAATAAAAAATAAATTTTTTTCAACCTTAATGAAGAAAGTTTAATTAAGCACTGCAATATTGTTAAATAAAACAGATTAAATTCTAAAAAACTTGATTTAAAAAATAAATTTTTAGATAAAATAACAGAAAGTATAACAGGTTTCTGGGTAGAAACCTGTAAGAAAAACTCAAAATATTTCAGTTGTTATTTGTTATATTTAGATAAAGTATATCATAAATAAAGATCCCAGAGATTATTAAGTAATATCATTTTATAAATTTTATTTATGTATTTATATAGTTTAGTTTTACAAGAAGTTAAACCCTCTTTATGACATATTCAGGGCCTAAACAGGCCTATTTTGACACTAATATAGCAGATGGGTTCCCAAATTTTTGCTCAAATTCCAGCTTGAAGCAGTTAAAAAATTTATATAATTCTTTTCTTCATTGATAATAGGGAAGATTCTTGACCATTCTTACCAGCATTCAACATATTTAAGATTCGATTTCAAATGTCTAAAATGATATTTGAAATGATATTAATCAGAAATATTCAGAAGTATTGCATTTAAGCAACCTAATACTTTTTTTTTAACACTTTATTATAAGCACACACTAGCAATACTAAAATATATCTGGATTTGCCCCTGATCACATTTTTAATTAATTATTATTGATATATTCTCATTACTATAAGTTATACTACTGAAAAATACCTGCTTTCTCCACCATACACTTTTATTATCATGATAATCATAGTGCAATTCAGTGCCTGATTCAATACCATAAAGAGCAAAGAGGCATAAAATCGTTTACCATCCACAATAATTTAATTCATAGCAAAATGATGATCCAATGAAACATCACTAATAAATCAGAACATGAAAACATGTTATTATATATAATATACTTATGAATTTTATAAAAAAACGATAATATGGTCATGAAAAAATGTGTTCACAATTAAATTTGTTTTAAATAAAATTTTTATTTTATTTCATTTATACAAGTTTAACATATTTCTGATTTTGCATTATAAAATGTTACAAGTTTATCAATTATGATAGAAATAAAGCAAAAAATTGTGTATCTTCTATAAATGACTTTCTAATTCTAAATAATCTTTTATTTTTAAAAGTTTTATACATTTTACTTTGATAACTTCTAAGTAAACTTCATTTAAATGATTTTCTAACTACTCTTTTAAAATTTACTTTTTCAAACTGGTGTTCAAGTTAAAATATAAAACACCTTTTCATTAAATGAGCATAAGCTTTTTTCCTACTTCAGCATAAGCCAAATCACTCATATATTGAAGCTTTGTAAACTTTTTTTTTTTTAAATTAGAATATATTTCTTTGATAATGGCATTTTATGAAAAAACAAAATTTCTTAAAAACCTTTAAAATTATAATATCTGAAAACGATCTTCAATATAAATTGCTGAAAATGAATCTTCAATATAAAGTGCTGAAACTCAAAGGAACAAAGAATAATCTTTAAGGAAATTAAGAAAAAAATTTTAAATTTTCTTATTTTTGTTAATTCCTAAACTTAACTGTATTCTACTTTTTTTTTATTTTATTTTTAAATATCTTAACTTCCAAAAAGGCTGCAAGCAACCACTATTAGAATTGAAAGTTACTGGATTCACATTTTTAACCTTTGATGCAGGTTACAAGGCATGTTAATGTTTTCCATATAAATGACTTTTGAGTAAAATTTAAAAAAATTTATCAAGTTGTACTCAATACTGAATATAATAAAAATTAAACTTATTACTTTCTATATAACTTCAAATTAGAAGTAGTTCATTACAACTATTCAAAAAAATTTTTAATATATTTACACCTGTATTAGATCTAATAAATTAGAAACTAATGTTGTAATCTATGTATAGTAACAATATAAAGATAATAAAAACAAGAAAATTACAAAATAAAAAAAGATACAATACCTAGCTGCAACATGAACTGGATCTGACTGGAATTCTATACTTATTATTTATTTAGTATAGAATTTTCTAAAAGCAAAATAATTTTAAAATTTCTTTGTTAAAAATCAATAAAAACAAAATTACAAAATAAATCAACAAAAACTACTTTAAAGAAAAATAAATCAATAAATTTTTTATTATTATATAACTATTATTTCCACCTAATTATAGCTGAATATTAAGTTAGAAGTTACTAAAAAAAATTATAACAGAGTTAAAGAGTTAAAGAACAAGGAAACGATTAGTAAACTTAAAAAGTTGTATGAATCAGAAAATCATGAAAATGGGAGAGTGTTTTACTCTCTCCACACCCACAGATTTATGGAAAAAATAAAATCCTAAACATATCACCTTGATTGGATAAACCATGAAAATTTTAGTATATTTTTGATTTTTGACAGATCATAACTTTTTCAATAAAAAGTGATTACCTGAAATTTTATATTCATTTTTATACTTATAAAATCTATATTTTCAAGTATTTTTGACTAATTTTAAATAGTTTTTGTGTTATTGTATCTCAAAATTGCTTAACAACACAATATTAGAAAAATTTTGGAAAACTTTAATGTGCTACAATTTAATACCTACAGACAAAAAAAGGCCAATTTTTAGTTACTTTTGTGTGCTTAGGGTAACCACCTGTAGTGAAAAATAAAATTATGCATTAAAATTTAATTTAACGCTTGCAGTAGCCTGTTTAAACATTACATTTTTTTAAAAAGATGATAAGATACAATCAGCAAAAAAACGAGCAAAAGTGTATTAACTATAATGATTTAAACAAACTGTTAGATGCAAAAAAAAAAATTTAATTTCAAGAAAGTTAAAGCTCAGTTACACTCATTAACTCCTGATAGTTAATTGAAAAAACTTGCAAAACATTTTCAGTTTAGGAAAATCTTGTTAAAAAAGTTAAAAATTAAAAAAAAAAGAAAAAAGGGATGCTTGTTAAAACTTGAGGCTAAAAAAGGCAAACCTTTGGAAGATATCGTTAAACAGAAAGTCATTAAAATTTATGAATCTAAATAGTTCACAAAACAATGTCCAGGAAAAATAATGTAAAAATTCATAAAAAAACACTTAATAGTAGTTAAAAAAAACTGGAGTTTAAAAAGTTATACTCTTAACACAAAATTCGATTCAATGTTGCATTACAGTTGATTGTAGTGAAATTCACACAGTTTTTGTATGCAAAAAAAAAGTAAAAATAATTTTTTTCTTTATATCAAAATGCTAAGTTGATGTGCTCTACTTTACTTAAGGGCCATTGAGTATATAATAAAGATTTGACAAAAGTATATGTTAGTAATATAGTTATAATAACAAGCTGCATGTTTCATCTATGTTTCAATTTTCTTAAGCAAAATTTTTGTGTGTGGGTGCACTTAGGGTAACCAACTATGTTAAAATTAAAATTAATTTAACACTAGCAGCAGCTTGGTAAAATAAAAATTTTTTTGAAAAATATGATAAACTCCATAGAAAAAAGCGTAATTAAAAATTTAAAAATATAAAATAAAAAATATAAAAATATGATAAACTCCACCGGCATGAAAATAGTGTAAACAGTTGAAATAAATTATGAACCTTTTTATAAAAAGGCAATCACTGAAAAAAATTTAAATACATATACTCTATTTTATAACATGACTGTAGCCGTATGAAAATATGTGTATATATATATATATATATATTATATATATATATATATATATATATATATATATATATATATATATACACACATATATATATACACACACATACACATAGACATACACATCGTTTTTTTCTAACCGCTTTATAAGTTATCCATGAAGGCTAATACTGCTTTATAAGCAAGAGATCCAAGTTCGAAACGAGCCTCGGACATTCTTTCGTGTCACGGTAAGGAAGGAGGCGTGAACTTCCTGGTTAAATGCACTTCCGCTGTACTCTGTGACAAGACTGTTAGGTCTTCTTGGGGCACCTAATAAGCAATAAAAGAAAAATATTTGGGCTGGTTCTTCTAATGATACTTTCTCTTCTAGACAATGTCCAAAAACACATGGCAAATGCAGTTGGACTCGCTGTTATCTGTTAGGGTTGAACCTCTTTCCCATTGCTGTAAGGTTGCATTTCTTTCTTATTTCTACAAATATTAATATGGTTGCTGCTCAAAGGAGCTATTATCTTTAGTTCCATCAATTAAAAATCATTCTCACTTGACATGTCATTCAGCAAATCTGATAACAACAAATAATAAAGAAATTTAATGCATGTAAATTTTACTACCTATAATCTAAAAGAGAATATATGTAAGCTTGAACCTATAACTATCCTTGGACCTTTAACTATAGCTTGACACTAAAATATTTTGCAAAAATGTATTGACATTTCCTTATATTAAAAATCTTTTTATTTTTTTTAAATATCTTTTGTAGAAATTTAAATGAACATTGTTTTTGTTTTAAATTTAGTGTTGAATAAGTGTAAGTAAAATAAAAATGCTAATAAAAACTATACTCATTTAACTCAATTATATACTGTATTATGCATAGTAAAGTATACAAAGAAATTTTAAAATGCATTTTTATTTTTTAATATTCAGAGTTTGTTAATTAATAGCGTCAAAATAAATTTTTTTAATTTTGTTAGCTATAAAATTGCATAAATTTGTTAAGTGGAATATTTATACTCAGTTTTATCTTGATTGAAAAATAGTGATATTACAAAATTTTAATAGTATTACATAGAGGGAAAATAGTGTAATATGTATAATACATAAAAATAGTATTATGAATAATATATAATACTGTATTTTCCGCTTATTAATTACTAAATAATTACACTACTTTTTAAATTTAATATGCAAATTTAACAATAATATATATATAGATTCTAAACTAGATTCTAAACAACTAAGTTATAATTATTTAATAAAAAGAAAGTTTTAAAATTTCCTGATTAACTTCAACATGGTTTGTGTTTCCAGTAAAAACAATACTCCAGTAAATACAACAACTTCAGTGTATTATTTACGTTTCTGCTATTCGTCATGAAAATATTGCTTCATCAATTATTTTCATAACTAATAGCATATCCTTACTAACATAAATATATTTTTTTAGTATTTAAGTTTAACTTGTCAAAGTAACATTTTAGTAATTAAACGCTGCAACGAAAGTGTAAAACTTTCAATTTAATGGCGGCGAAATATGTTACGTGAAAATAATTTTACGGCAATTCCATTTGCAACATTAGGGCTCGAAAATATGCAACAATAGGGCATTTTTGTAACATTAGGGCTGTATATTTGCAACATTAGGGCAAAAAAGCCCTAATGTTACATTACGCGTAACATTAGGGCTAAAAAGCGTAACATTAGGGCTGTAAATTTGCAACATTAGGGTGATTACGACTACTACTACTACTACTACTACTACTACTACTACTACTACTACTACTACTACTACTACTACTACTACTACTACTACTACTACTACTACTACTACTACTACTACTACTACTAGTACTACTACTAATGATAATAATACAACAGACAAACACAGCAACCAAAGGAACAAAAATTAAACTCATTTATATATAATAATAATAATACAAATAATAATACTAAAGTAAGTACCGTATTGACAATAAATAATAATAATAATAATAAAAATAATAATAATAACTGATGAAAATAATGAAGTAATAAAGGTTCATATTCTGAATAATACTAAAGGAAAAAGAAGTAGGGGAGAGCGGGGCACGTTGTCATACTTTTTATATTTTTCAAGGTATTTCAAAAACCAATTGGTCAATTTTCATAAAAACTATTTTATATGGTAGTTTATCATTATAGTTATTTAAAAAACAACTTTGGAAAGCTTCAGACCATTTGAGTATAACATGCCACCATTTCTAAAGAAGGCTCCATGGTATGACAACTTGCCCCACCGTCGGGGCAAGTTGTCATGATAAGAGGGGCAAGTTGTCATAATTATATTTTATCACAAGTGTCGGTCTAAAAGGTAAAAAAAAATATTTTCAAATTGAAAACAAGTATTATATTAATCATTTATAAATTAATAAAAATAACATATAAATTATATTATAATTTATACTCTAAAACACTTTGAAAATGACCATTAATAATCATCATCAGAGTCACAGTTATGGCAAATGTAGCTGGACCCTCCTGCTGTACATTCTTCATGTGCCCAGCTTGAGCACACACAGCATTTGATCCATTTTTCAGCATCTCTGCTATTAGCCCAAGTATCCATGCAAATAATACAGTAGGTTTCATCTTCTGATGATGATGATGAGTCTTGTGTATGCTTTTTTGTTGTTTTGCCTTTTCCCTTTCCCTTAGCAGAACTTTTGCATTTTTTTGGCAGTGGCTGTGCTGATCTCATAGAATTTTTGAAAGGGGAATCAGTCAATATAGACGAAGTTCTCTTTTTGCGTGTGTTTTTGGAAGGCTTTTTTTCAAGTGTCTTTGGTAATGGCCTTACTTTATCTGGAGATGCAAGCTCAAAGCATTCAGAAAATGTTTGGCTTGAGATGTTGAAGGCTCCTGTGATGACAAAGTCAAACTTGAAGTTGAAGCACAAGTGGATTGTTCTGGTGAGACTGTAACCTCTGAAGCTTGAGGCATTGTTAATTGAGGATTGGTTTTGACTGGCATAGGCATTTCTGTTACTGAACTTGGAGCAAAGTCCAAATCTATAAATATTTGAGGGTTAAATGGGTGGTTGCCACAGGAAGAAAATCCGCTCAGTATGATATTTTGTGTCATGCTCAATGGAAAGGCAACCTTCACTATCTCTGGAATATTGTAAATTGTCATACCTTTTCCAGGGTTACTGACCATCCAACTGTTGATGGCTGTATTTACAGCCTTTTTAAAAGGGCCATAGACTGTTCTATCTAGTGGCTGCAACTTGTGGGTGCAATGGGGTGGAAAATTTAACATAATAATTCCATTTGCTGTCGCATAGTCTAGTGCATTCAATGACAAGTGCGAAAAGTGATTGTCAACCAGTAGCAAAACTGGATGCTCCTTTGAAGGCCGTGCATTCTTTACAAAATAAGTAAGAAATTTACAAAAAGTGTCTTCCTTCATCCAACCAGATGGATTTGCGTCCCTAAAATTGACTCTCGGAATACGAAAAAAGGTGGAATACTGTTACCAATAG